GAGTGCTTATACAACTAACACTGTCTGAAAGGAAAACATACGAGTGGCATCATTTGTTTAATCTAACTTCCATTTGATCTCTGTTAAAAATACCTGTTAAATAGCTCGATCTGGAATTGTTTTTCGAGCTTCTCGTTGCATGAATCGTTTTCTACGTAATATTTTGAGGAGAAAATGTGTGAGGTTCTCTCTACTTCAAACCTCTTGTAGTTGGCCATTATAATGAAGGAATTCTAACTGTTCATATTTTACTAGCACACTCAAGTCGCAGCTTCAAAAACCAGGAGATCTTGTTGGCTAGCCCTAACAATCTCACGGTGCTTGAATCTCTTCAATTATTCAGCTGAGTGTTTGAGAGGCAGCACTAACCGAGAAAAAGGAGAGGTTTACGTTAGAGTATGGTGAACGTTTACACTGAGGATGATTCAAACTGCAGCGGCTGGCAATCCACTCATGCAGTGATGGTTTAATTGAGGTCGCGGTATCAGTTTAGAACAGAGTTGCGGCCGCTGTCCATGCAAAGAACATTTTGCAAAAGAGGAAAGTTTTTGGGCCATTCACTTCCTTACATATTTTACTCCATGAAATGCTAAGAAGGACAAGCTTCAAATATCTTTAACCGTGCTAATCGAATCTTAAAGTAGCTTTTTTTGTGTTTGCTGGCCCCAATCCCAAAACCGAAGTAAGAACTTTAAAGTTATTATGTTCAATAAGGTTAACTCAAAATCAAAGTATGGGTAATAAATTTAAAGGAAATCTGTAGACCAGAGAATGGAGACAAGGATCGAACCATTAGGAGTCCAACTCATGAATTGGTCTGGAGTAAGGGTTGGTATTTTTTAAAGAACACACAGAGAAAAAACTCAGCACTAAATTGCGGTTAATACGGGAAGTAAAACACATAATAACCCAAGCAGTCAATAACCCAAGTCTGGTTGACTCTGGAGTTTCCCAGTATCTCCATTGTTTTCTGCGCTAAATTCATCGCGAACTACACCATTAACACAATGGTTAGTGTTTCACTTCCTATATTAACCTAAATTACTACAGGATTACAAATACTTTATCAGTAAATCGAGAATTGCTATTAACTATGGCTCTGAACTTTTTTAACAATGCGGGAGATTCAAGAAAATGTCTTCAAAATAATAGGAAAAAAAGGTTAAGATTAAGGTATTTGTGTCACCAAAAGAAAATGTTGAATTTATTTGAAAAAGAGACAGTTTTGAAGAGACCAGCCTACTTTTACCTTTTGCAAAAATAAATACACTATAGCTGTAAGTCGACTTTATTTCTGGGATAGGAAATAAAAGTACGTTTGCAAAAGTTTAATTTGTCACCATGTTATCACACGGATATACATCGAGGTTAGAGTGTCTCAGCTCACGTCTCATTAAGTGCCTTTTTGAAAACTTTACGAATGGACGCCTTGTAGTAATTTCAAGATAGAAAAAGCGATGTTACACCTCCATTTTCTCGCATAATTGGCACCCATGCAGCTCCGTATGGCTAATTAGGTTTCAGACGGAAATGGAGGACTATTATCTAGTTTTAACTGTTTCCTGTTGCGGTACGCTCCGCGAGCACCGTGCTGTGTCACAACGGATTTTTTTCCGCAGTTTTCACTTTCGAGCGCTAGCTTCTTCGTCCCTATATTCAGCAAACTTTCATCCTAAGTATATTCAAATTCATTGGGAATATACTCCATTTCATTAAAAATATCATTCTATTATGTTTTACTTTTACGATAATTATTGCATCACTCATTTGCTTATTTCTGATAATATTCCATGTTCGGAAAATCTTTTAAGCACTCAGCCGATAGGGCCTTTTTTATTTCAACTTGCCTCTAGAATTCTAGTATACTAGTGACAATGCGTTCAAATAGTGCACCAGCACAACAGGATGGTGGAGAAGGGCTTAAAATATTTAGAAAAGATTAATCAGTGAAATCTTTAGCTAATCAGGGTCGGATTCACCTACTTGCCGCCCATGGGCCGCCTATATTTTGCCGCCCCCTTCTCATTCGTTTTGAAACTCGATAAAAACCATCAAATGAACGTGCCAGCGGGGGAGGGGTGCATAAGACGCATTTACTCGTGTTGAACACATTTTTGGGGGGAGAGCCCTGTCAACACTACTAGCAAAAGTTCACGAAACTTTGCGCGAAAGTTAAGTTCCGTAAACCTATCTCTGTGTGGACAAGGCCTTCCATTCATAAGAAATGAACGAAAAAATCATGAAAGAACAAACATAAATGTGGTTCAATGATTTTAATTTCCGCCGCCGTGTTGGACGCAATGCGTGAAGTATTCAGGCAGTCTTGTAGGCGCTAAGCGTTTCACGCTGACCGCACTGTGTTTGGCGCAATGCGGAAAGTATTCATGCATTCTTGTAAGCGCTATCCGTTTCACGCTGGCCGCAATGACCGCACTGTATTTGATGCAATGCGTGAAGTATTCGTGCAGTCTTGTAGGCGCTAATATGTGTTACATGCCGATCGCCTCGCCGAGGGCTTCTCCTTTTTATCTCAAGTCCGCGTTATCATTTCTCTCTAAGTCGCGCCGTTCTTGGCCAAATTGCGTGTTTGGTTTCTCTCGTAACTCAACTTATTAAGGGTGCTGTCCCTTGTATCACTAAGAGAAGACAAAATTAGGAATTACTATACTCTCAGGAAATGAGAGATTTTGTCGCCTTTTCTCGTTTGTAATTTTGTTTTTATGAATCCGATTTTTTTATTACCTACACTTTAAAAAATTGCAAATTTTAGCAGATTTGCCCCTTGGATTTGCCGCCATGGGCCGCGGCCCATGTGGCCACCCCCTTAATCCGGCCCTGTAGCTAATGCTTCTGATGTCATGGCCGCACGGAAGGCGATAATCATTTTTCTATAATTTTTTTTAACGGGAGTGTAGTTTTCTCAAAATTGACGGTTGAAATACTGGTGAGCGAGTTTTTTAATCTCAACGGTGCTCATTTTTTTGGGAGAACTTAAAAATGCGCCTGAATAGAAAACAGCTGAACCCTTATCTATGTAATAGAAACGTATTTGAGCTTTCCCGCTTGTTTTACAGTTATTCTATTATTTCAATAGATCAAGTGACACCCTGCGATTTAATAGAATGAAGTACTGTTCTTCTTTGTAAAAAAAAAAAAAAAAAAAAAAAAAAAAAAAAAAAAAAAAAAAAAAAAAAAAAAATGAAAAAAATGAAAAAAATGAAAAAAATGAAAAAAATGGGAAAAATAAGAAAAATGAAAAAAATGAAAAAATGAAAAAAAATGCAAAAAAATGTAAAAAAATGAAAAAAACTAAGAGTCTTCATGGTCTCCGTTTGGAATCCTCAGATCGGTTTTCCGGAAATTTTCCAGCAATAAAAAACAACGCCGGAAGTATTAATTTCAGATCGTCACCGGCTATAAATCCGGACCCGGGCGCTCGAAACGAAGCGCAAATTGCCACTCTTATTTAATCAACGTCACATTGATCGTCGTATCATACACCGTCAGCGACATCAAAGGGCCTGCCCGAGACCCTCTGGAGCGTGCACCGGGAAGAGGAGCAGAAAGGTGACCCCACTTCAATCTCAACGCTCCCGCGGGACCCGAGGACCATTCTTCGAAAGATACGTTTTAAACTTTCCACTAATTTAACGTCGCCGAAAAAAGGATGAAAAAACCGCTCGCGTGCACTAAAGACCTTAAGCCTCGCGCGCGGCCGGTTCCTCAAGCCCAGCTTACGTTTTACAATGGCGACGCACATTAAACGTCCCTCGATAAATTTATCTCCGGAGTGTCATATTGTTCGCGGAGGCCGCAACAAAGCGGAATTCGGCCCACCCCTTCCCCGGACGGTTACCTCGCCTTCTCGACTGAGCTTCGAGCGTGAAAAAAACACGGAAATATGCTAATGCAACCTCGTGGATTAAAATCAGACCAAAAGTGCGTGAAAATTCTCGAAAAGGTTGGAGCCCTAATTAATCGGGATAATAAAATGTGGACGAGTGGTTAACGGAAGAACATCACTCACCTCATGAATATCTCATTGGTCTTGATGATATCTACCCTTGTGTCTATTTTTTAATCGAACTGTCCACAGAACAACTGAATGTGTTTACATCAGATGGTATGGATCAATATGTTACATTGAGTGGAGAAATAACGCGTAAGTTCGGTAAAGATTACTATGGGGAATGAAATATAAACTAATTCGGATATTTGGTTGATTCTGGAGTTTTTCCGGTCGTTTCGTTGTTTTCTGTGTTAAGTTCAACGGCAAATGCACCGGGTTTGTTTAAGTTCCACTTTTTATATGAACTGTATGTACCACAAAAACACAAAATACAACCATTTTCCAAATTCTTTGTAAAGACATTAATAGCCTAGGATGCTGAATGTCTAAAAATAAAATAACTAACTAACTAACTAACTATTTCTCTCGTGGTGTATAAATATACGTTCAGGTGGGAATAAATGTGAAGTAATATACTTTAAATGCTTCCATTGAGACTTCGAAATATTCTAAGTACCAAGACCTATTAAAACCGTCTGGACAATGAAAAGGACCTTGATAACAGGAACTCTCGTTCAGAGAACTTCTGGTAACAACTTGCAATAAAGGAGTCGATAAAATTAAGTATTTGTGGACAAACGAGAAGAAGAAGAAAAATGCGGTCAAGAGCGCTGTTACGTATACCGAATTACCGACGCAAACAAAAGGTTGGTGATTGTTTATTGCTCAATCCGATGAATCATGAATCCTTCGATGAAATTCTGTATACTGCTTCCTCTGTCTTGATTGATTTCAATGAATCATATTTTATATCGTACTTGAGTGAGGAGATCTGAATCTTCCTCATGTATATGAACGCCGGGAGGAAGGAAATTCATGCGAAATGTTTTCGTATGAGTTTCATTCATCTTCAAGTTCGAAGAAATTAAAAGGCCCCGAAACTATCCGAATATTGGTTTCTAAAATTGTCCGTTATTTCTTTTTGTTCCAGAGTCACCATCGTTCGGTGAACCGATAGCAAATGTTACAGTTCCGTTGGGGCGAGAAGCCATGATGACCTGCGTTGTCAATGACCTAGGAACGTATAAGGTAAGAGCGATTAGTAATGAAGTAGTAAAATGTAACGATAGTTGATTTTCATCTTTTCATTTTTCATTTTTTCCGAAAATAAGATTCATGTGTTAAGTTGTGTTTTGTATTGAGCACGATAAGGGACAAAATCCCTTCTAAAACTCGACAAAGCGTTTTGTTCGAACTGCAATCATTTCCAAGAGACCGTTTCGGATCGAGTTAAAAAACGCAAGTAAATAAACTCGGGGGCATTTCGCAGTCCGTCAGGGGAATTGCATCCATATTAATCAAGCACATGGTTGTCAGCTCATCTTTGCCGTTGCCATTATTTTCATCAGAAACAATCATGGATTTGAGGCTGACAGTTGAATTGACTCATCGTAATAATCGATAAATTACCTTTACTATGCAGTTAATTTTATTGAGTGTTGATTTCAAACGGAGGGATAGTGTTAATGGATAAATACCCCAGTAGTTTGTAATTCTCAACGTATTTGACTTATTCCTGAAATAATTGAAAACCCGAGGCATGTATGGTATAACGATTTTACATAGTCCTAGCAAATGCGTTTTAAGAAGAAGAAAAATAAGAAGAGGAAGAAGAAAAAGGAGAAGGAGAATTAACAACAGGAGAGAATAGGGTCGAATGATTTCGTGGGTCCACCACCGGTCGAATCTTAAAGTTCACGCCAAATAAGTTAACGCACTTTTACACTGCAACAGAGGATGGTCAACAACATCCTAGCGTGGAACAACACAGGAAATGTGTCATTCAATAATTGTTCTAGTTTCACTAAGCTCCTCCAAATTTCTTCCAAATTTTTCTTTTGCAGTTTTGTTGTTAGGCGAAATGGATCTACAGATCCGGGTGTAACCTTGAAAACCTTAACGGGGGAAATATTAAAACCTCCCAGTAAGACACGCTCACACACACCCTCACACAAAATCAAATAAAAAAAATCTTAGCATGGTAAATGCACGAATCGAGATAACGGATCTCCGCAGTCTAAAAGTGCATAAACTCATTTGGCGTGGTTCTTTTTGCAATGAGGTAGTACTATTTCTGCCTCATTCTTAAAAACACCTTTTTGCATAGGGAAACTAAATTCACATATGCTGCTCCTAAAATGAGCCGGAGATAACAGTTCCTAATTCCAAAATGCAATCCGATGAGAACCTGAGATATAGCTCTAATCCTGATGAAATTTCGAAATCCAATGTTTCGGAGAGGCGCCATCTTATTGGGAATTTTAAATCTTCTACGTGCTAACTTTCAACATCTTAGGGTTCTTCACGTAATTCTATTAAAGGGTGGTTTCACGATAACTGGAATAGTTTTGTCGCCGTAATAGACAACACATTTTCCGGTCATATTTTTAGTACTAATGATGATCACTCTAATTTTTTTTCATTCACCTTCAAAAGGTTACGTATATTAAAACGCTTTTTAAAGATTTATCGCTCTTTTTTTCAATTTTAATATATAAATGGCCGAAAATGTGTTGTCTGTTACGGCGATAAAACTATTCCAGTTATCGTGAAACCACCCTAAAATATGAAGAAAATCTCTCCAAAATATGCAAAAAGCCCAATAAATACGTAAGAAGACTAAGTTCAAAACTCAGGGATTTTGGCAGCCCCTTGGGAAACTTTGGGTTTAAAAATTCTCATAATTAGAAATCTGGCAATGTTTATGAAACGCAACGAAGGCGAGGCGTCCCACTCAGGGTGCACGACCGTATAGGGGGNGGGGGGGGGGGGGGGGGGGGGGGGGGGGGGGGGGGGGGGCGAGGAGCAGCAGCAAAGTCAGTCAATCGACAGTTCAAAGGTTCCCCTTTGAAGTCGGGCTCGGTTAGTAGATGGGCGATTAGTTTTTTTCGAACATGGTCATATTGAGCAAAAATAACGGTTTGTAAACACCGACGTATCCACCCCCTCGGTGGAATAGCGTAGATTCGAGGAAGAGTATCAGAATGTTTGAACAGGCGTTCGGGGTTTCACTGCTTTGACGGGGGCAACGGCTCCCCCTATCTCGCAGTGTGAAAGACCCCCGCTGTCAACTCCTCAGGACGCATCCTTTCATTTGCCTTTCCCGTAAAATTATGACTTGGCCTCTGCCGTATCTAGAGTAAATTATGTCTCATCAGCGCACCTGTTCATTACAGGCACAGTTCTCACACGTTTCCTCCCATTCGTCGGGTATATATCGTTGGTTTCTAGTCGAAAGAACTTAACCATATTTAATTTTTCTTAAATTTTCCAAACGAATGGCCCTCTTCAATTAACCGTCTATCGCTATAGTTGTAGAATGAATTTTGAATATTGGATTGTGGGTGACACTAATTTATTTTTTAGCTTGGATAAAAAACATAGAGTACCTAATATTATTTTCAAAATTTTGAATTTTCGGGAATTGAGGAATATTTGCAAAATCATACCACAGAAAAAATATTAAATTTTTAAAAACCCCAAAAAGACCTTGTTACGGATTCGTAACGCTATGCAATCTAGAGGGTTAATGAAAAAGTTATTCAATATTTATAGAATTCGTGACTATATCTCTCTATGAGTATTGACGCTGATGCATTCTTTGTGAAATGCATAATTACAATGCATTTGGAACTACGGATATGTGTGATTTTGTGTTGCTCAGGAAACATATACCGCACGTTAGAAACATGAGTTGTTTAGCACTGCTAAAAGATCGATTTGAAGTCTACACGAAAATTTTTCAGTCTCTCATGCTGAGCGTTTTTTAATAGTCTACAGAACACCGTGCCAGAATTTCAAACCATACTTTGCATTATGCACTTGTAAACTTTTGACATTAATAAGTTTTAAAGCTTGCAAAAACGGCGGCAAAAAGGGACAATCCCTTTCTATCAAAACGAAACAACTATCCCTGACATTTCGGTAAACTTTTACTTAGTTTTTCTCAATTTCACGCCCTGACGAAACCGAGAGACTAGCGTTAAAATACCTTTGCAATGAGAAAATCAAGAGGTAACAACAGAATAAGGCTCTCGAACTCACACGGCGCTGGGATACCACTATTCGTGTTCTGTGGATGTGCTGGAAGTATCATCAAAATTGAAGGCGAAATGAGACACTTGGTCTTGACTCCTACATCGTGCCACGCTTAAAGACGACCTTTTTCTATTGAAACGACACAAATATCCCCGATTTCCGAGCATATCTACGGTAAAACTGCAAAACCACACAACTCACCTCGCGACGTTGCAGATGTTCGGTCGTAATTAGATTTTCCGAGAAATTATGAACCGTGACAGACGTTTATACAGTTAGCCCAGTTGTTTGGTGTTTTTATGTGGTTTTAAGATCGGATTTCTCAATTGGACCACATTTTGCAATAAGATTACTGACTTATTTTAGGAACAGCATATGAATCATCGGTTTCCTGATGGCGAAAGGTGCTCTTATGGAAGAGCCGGAGATTATGGTTCCTTATTGCAAAATGTAATCCAATTATGGGGTTCTAAACGGGAATCCATATTTGCTTCCCTGAAAATTATGAAACCCTCCCCCAAAATCGGAACTAAACAACTGAAATAATACTTGTTAGGATTAGAAACACGCGAGATTGTACGTATATTTAGATTAGATAAGTGCTTTGCGTGAGCGAAAAATTTGAAAATGCGTGATATGGACTAAGTAAATTTTGCATTAAATAGAGAATTTCAAATTTTCTTGACGTACCTGGCATGATTTTTGGGAGGTTTCACCGTCCAAAGGTCTATTCATTTATTTGTAACTGTTGTGTGCAGCAGGTCGACCCACTGTTCGATTACGTTTCGACGGTGAAACTACCAAACCACGTATCTCGGTTTGCGACGTCGCAGACTTCCTGTCATACTTTATTTTTTAAATGAAAAACTATTTAACGTCCAGTCTTGAAAATGTCTGTGATTTTTCCTCTTCGCGCGGAGAAAATTCTATGAAAATTTCAAGGAATGATATTGATTTGGTCTACTTCCAAAAAATAAAATATGAGCGTAGATTTTTAAACACCGCAAACGAGATACGTGGTTTGGTAGTTTCACCGTCGGTTTGTTTCAACATGTTGACCACTCAAACGTCCTCCGCGGAGTAAATTTGGGTGTCGATCAAACAATAGGCCTTTGCCAGACCAAATTACCGATGGATGGACGATTTAAACGGAAATTAGAAGCACAAATCATTTGTTGCCAAGCTTCGTTCGATTCCATTTGATATAATGAACCACGAGCCCTTGAGGCAATGTGGAAATTAGATGTAGACTTATTAAATTTGAAGAATCATAAGTTGTTGCTAGATTTTTCCTAATTTCATGGAAATAAAAGTTGGCGCGAAATATATTTTCGATGCTCGGAAAATTAAAATTAAAAGCAAGGGTTGAATTTTGATCAATTACGAGCATTCGTTTTTTCTAGTCGCAACCATCTCCCCTGGCAGTATACATTAAGCTCCCTGGTACTCATCTGAGTCTTGTCAGTGATAACATTAATCAAGTTTTAACATTTTCTCATTGAAATTTCATGGCTCTTGTATAGTTTCATACATTCTTGAGATGTGCTGCCAGAACTGATGACTTACAATATAATATGGATTGCATTTTGCAAAAAGGAGCCGATAGCATTACAATGTCACTGAGATTGTGCAACTTTTTTTACTCTGCAAATAAAAACTGATCATCTAAACCAGTTATATCTTTACTCCCAATAATCTACAAAGTAAAGACGAACATTACCTTTGTAACTATAATTTATTGCATGATTTCAGTAATTTTTTGCAAAGAATGTGAGTTGTACAATCCTAGCAACGGTGAAAAGCTTTTGGTAAAATTCAATCCATACAACTGTCATGATATGGGCATACTTGGATCGCAAAAAAGGAAAGCGCGATTACAGTGTTGTAAAAATGTTGCTCCTTCATAATTATCTAAAAAAATATCCTAAAATAGCGAATCGGTTTTGCTTCCCACCAATGATGGTTAATTTTAAAGGAAAATAATTGTGTAA